TATATATATAGTATAAAATAAATAACTATACTGTTATAAAGGTTTTCCTGTTGTATTCATATAATAAATTATTGATAAAGTATTGATATTCTAACATTACTGATTCCCAAAATAATGGTCATTTTATAATTTAACATCACCAATAATATCATTAGTATAATTTTATTACAAACTGGTAGAAATATTATAAAAAACAACGTAAACAGAACAATGATAATAATTACATCGCCTGCATTGTTATTATAATTGCTGTTATTAGCATACAATAAAAAAAATTGTACCAGTAATACTGATGTTGTAACATTACCGCTAATAATAAAATAAACCCATTTTAGTACATAATAATAATAATAATAACAACAACAACAACAATATGACAATAAAATAATGATGATCCGCTGAGCTAGTAGGATCTTTACTCACATCTGCGTCTACTATCTTCCAATGCACTTCCGGCCTGTGCGTTCCAAACCCTGTAATTGTGCGTTCCAGCAGACGGGAAACGGCCGCTGTCCAATCCCTGGAGGAGGGAGATCAAAGCCGATCCGGAAGGTGGAACGCAGAACCCGGAAGTGATGTGGATTGTGGCTATTTTTAACTAAGAAGCTGTGTAGAAAACATCCAGAAGACAGAACACCGGCCAGGTAAGAGTGTGACAGCTCGGAGGTATGACACCTCAAGGACAGGGCTGCCCTCATATTCACAGCTGTGTCCCTCTCTGGCATGTTTAATGTGTATTATTCGTGTTTTGGTTTTCATTATATCATTCTTATTTTTTGGAATGTTTATTACATCACTGTTATTATTAGAAGTGTTTATTTGTATTATATTATTGTTATTATTATTATTTGGAGTTTTGTATGTTGTAATTATATTATTATTATCGGTTAATAACTTTTTCGTCTTTTTGAAGCCATTTCGTGGCACATTTTAAATCTGTCATTATCATCATGTCAAGGTGGTCGAGAGAACGCAGCGACGGTGTCGGAGCATGGATCCGAATCGGAGACGTAAGACTGACAGTGTTTTAAAACTGACCCTGGAGATTATGTACCTGCTGACCGGAGAGGTGAGGAGGATTCTGGGAGGTCCCATGACATCACTCTTATCTCTATTACTAAAACACAGACCTGACTGGAGAGGTGAGGAGGATTCTGGGAGGTCACATGACATCACTCGTATCTCTATTAATAAAACACAGACCTGACCGGAGAGGTAAGGAGGATTCTGGGAGTTTACATGACATCACTCGTATCTCTATTAATAAAACACAGACCTGACCGGAGAGGTAAGGAGGATTCTAGGAGGTCACATGACATCACTCTTATCTCTATTAATAAAACACAGACCTGACCGGAGAGGTGAGGAGGATTCTGACATCTTTAGGTGTCATCACGCCCTATTTATCAATGTATCGGGAAGTATTTGAGGACTCCATCTTTGGGAGGGGGGACGCTTCAACTGTGTCTACTGTTTATAATTTTTCACCTTGTTGCTTAGGACTATACTGTCGTGAAGAAGACAACCAGCAAGCCGGGGGCTCCCACCGACCAATGGCAGGGGTCAGATGGATGGAGCAGGAGTCAGAGCCCCATCACGGCTCAGTCAGCCCTTTCGCCATCCCCTAGTGAAAACAAGAACAGGAAGGTCTTAGAGCTTGCCAACAGGATCATCCACTTCCTGACGGGAGAGGTGAGCGGTGCCGGGAATTCTGGGACATGATCCAGGGACAGACAAGGGATGTGTCTGGATGGTGACTGTATCATTGTGTGTGTCAGGTTCCCATAAGGTGTCATCGCTCTCTCTTGTACAGGTGTGGCAGTATTTATTAGGACACAAGGATCTGGTCAAAGACGTCATGATAGAGAATTGCATCACTTACACCCCCGAAGGTAAGAGGAGGCCTAGATGCCATGATGTTGGAGGCGTATACCTTGATACACAAGTTCAGTATGTTTCATATTCTGGGGGAGGGACCAGACCTGTAAGGGTAACTGCAGCTGAGGACAATCAGGTCTCTTGTCCTGCCAGACAGGGCCATGCTGTGTTTCTGAGCTGTGTAAATGTGAGGACTGGACAGAAATACAAATCCTGCATCTGACATTTCCGGGCAGGTCAGATGTCTGTGTCTCCCCAGTGCTTGCTGTCGCTTCCATGTGTCCCCATTAGGGAGGTTTGCCTGACTTCTGTCCAGGTGGCAGACTGAAAAGACAAATCTCTTCTATGGAGACCCAGGCAACATTTACTAACTGATACGGATGAGCTCGGGTTTGGTCTGAACCCGTAAGACGTTCCTCCTGAACACGGAAGGAAGCTCTTTTCATGCTGGCCACTCAGCTGCTGCCGGGGAATTCCCCTCCCGCAGCTTGACATAATCAAAGGGAAGGGATGCACTGACCTTATATGGCTACACGCCTATATTTGGTAAATGACGTTTACCTAAAATGGCCATATAAGGTAAATTACATCAGCACAAGCATCCCGCCCCTTTGTTTGCCTGGGGGAATGCCCAGCCCGCATCTGATTGGGTGGAAGTGCCCACAAGAGCTCATCTCTACTAGCTGACAGGAAATCTCTGCAGTGGGGACACAACCTGTAATAGAAACCTAATAGAAGTTTGAACCCTTTAATGAGGACCCTCCCACCTTAAAATATTACACTCGGTCACAGCTGAAGTTTAGTTCCCTGCTTAGCATAGAACTTCCCCCTCCTCTGATAACGGACACTGCCCACAGTGCTGATCTTTCTCCACTGCTGAATTAAAATACAGCGGTAGGGATGAGCTTAGGTTTGGACTGAACCTGAGCTGTTCCGAAAACCCAGAAGTGATCTGGGGCCACCTGCGGGCAGGGGCATTCCCTGCTCCACAACTGAACATAAACAAAGAGGTGGGATAGTTGTGCTGATGTCATTGACCTTATATGGGCACATGGCCGTATTAGGTAAATGTAATTGACCAAATGAAGCCATGTGGCCATATAAGGTCAGTGACGTCACTGCATCCCGCCCCTTTGCTGTAAACATGGAATTCCCCGGCCGCAGCCGATTGGGTGGCAGTAGAAGGTGCTTTTATTTGTGTTCCGAGGAGCTCAGGCTCAGTCCAATACTGAGCTCATCCCTTATCAGCAGCTGTGAGAGTAAACCAGGGGTAGGCAAACTCCGGCCCTCCAGCTGTGGTGAAACTACAAATCCCATGATGCATCTCTCTCAGGGAGTCATGCCTGTGAGAATCTTGCAATGCCTCATGGGATTTGTAGTTCCACCACAGCTGGAGGACCGGAGTTTGGCTACCCCTGGTGTAAACCATTGGCGTGGCTTGTCTTCCCCTTTCCTCTCTCTCTCTCTCTCTCTCACCCATATGTCTCCCATTCTTTCTCACAATGCAAAGCATTCTGTGGATGGAGGACGGGTGGATAAATAACCGGATCTGCCTCCTCCAATCACAGACTGCTTTGCATTCTGGGAAAGAATATTATAAGGTAAGTTATGTCCCTGCTGCTGCATACCCCCAAAAAATTAATTCAGCCAAACGCCAACTTTAATGTCCCTGGAGTCCAGCGACCTCTTCCCCGGTGCTATAGATTTATAAGTGTTATTGCTACTCCGTGCCGCCATCTTGGATTCTGGAGCCAGCTTTCACTTCCTGCTTTTATACGGCCGCCCCCCCTGTTGGCACGCTGCTAGGTCTTGTCTCCCCGACTGCCCCAGTTCCACGCTGCTTGGCTCTGTCAGGCCCCATTCATAAAATATGAATCTCACCCCTGCCGCTGCATCCATGCACGCAAGAAATGGGTACTTACAGCCCTGCAGCTTTCTGGGATGCGTGATAGTCCAGGCTGTGGAAGGGCATGGAGTGCGAGGAAACAAGTGATTATGTAAGAGGGAGGAGAAGGAAATTAATAGAAAGTTCAAAATGTAGTGACAGGTCCTCTTTTAGAGAATGGTAGGCCTCCTGAGGATAGACAACATGGCTATGAAAATAATATGTGCTCAAGTGTGTCCATTTTTCTGTTTCCTTGTTAGAGACAAACAACATGGCCGCATGGGAAGAACTGGGTCCAAGCTCTAACATTTCCACGCCGTCGGATCACACCGATCACTCATTTGCGCCAATTAAAAATGAGCCGGGGCCACTCGATGAAGACCATCTCACAAACTCCGACACCCCCACGCCCGTAGAACATACACAATATGCAGCCGCTTATATCAAGCAGGAAACGGTCCCTGGTGACCAAGGCCACGTGGCCTACACCGAAATGCGCTCTTCCAACAATCACGAGGAAAGTGCTTCGACCTCCATCAAGGAGGAGTACGCCTCGAGCGAAGAAGACGATCCGGCTTTTTACGAGCCCACCCACAACAGGCCAGCTTCTTATTCGGACACCTCCAACACCCACATTGCCAATCACAACGCCGAATGCCTTGGCACTTGCCCGGATTTTGAAGATTCTTTGGCGCGTGTGGAAAGAAAGACGACTTGCACGCCTTCGATGGTGGCAATAAGCCAAATCTCCGATTTGGATAGTGGGATCTGTTTTTCCGATAGCCCTTCCCAGGAAGGTCATGCACGCTCGAAACCGTTTGCCTGCTCGAAATGCGGCAAATGTTTCGGCACCCAGCCGAGTCTTTTTCAGCACGAAAGGATTCACGTTGGTCTGGGGAAAAAAGGTGGAAGTTGTACAGAGGCTGGTTTAGGATTTGCAAGCACCGATCCTGCTGGTGATCAGTGCAGTGGCAAGAGCCCTTTATGGACCGGAGGAGGCCATGAATTGGGAACGAGCACCAAAAATGGAAGTTCTCCAAGACCCAACAGTCAGACAAACTCATGTGATATCTTAGATCAGGACAGTCCAGTTCTGGATGGAGGTGGCAAAACACCAAGGACTAGCCCCAACAATACAACTTCTGAGAGTGACGATCATCAGACCGAGTCTTTTAGCACCTCGGACCTTGCTGACCCTTGGAAGTCCAAGAAGGCCTCTTGCGTTGAATGTGGGGAGGTTTTTCCCTTTAAATCTCAGTTGGTTTTACATCAGAGAAACCACCTTGGTAAGTGTCAGTTCTCGTGCTCCTTATGCGGGAAATGGTTCACGAGCAACTCCCATCTTATCGTCCACCAGCGAGTCCACACGGGAGAGAAGCCGTTCGGCTGCTCCGATTGCCCAAAAAGTTTCGCCACCAAGTCCACGCTGGTCATACACCAACGGGTCCACACGCGGGAGAAGCCATATTCGTGTACTGAGTGTCGGAAGTGTTTCCCCTGTAACTCCCAACTCGTGATCCATCAAAGGACTCATACGGGGGAGAAGCCCTATTCTTGTTTGGAGTGCGGGAAAGGCTTCATCAGTAACTCTGACCTTCTTCGGCACAGGAGGGTCCACACGGGGGAACGACCCTTTAAGTGTACAGAGTGTGCTAAGTGCTTCTCCCAGAAGTCCCACCTTCGTGAGCATCATAAAACGCACAAGAGATAAACCCCTTTTTTTAATAAGTTGTAGCAGAACATATTATGATCCATTTGATCTTCTATTTTTGTGTATCTTCAGGTTAATATTCTCAATCCTGCGGTAGGATCTGCCTACGGAAAACCCATACTCCAATGATGTGTAGAAGCCTGTGAATGGTCCACCAGCTTCTGTAGGGGAAATCCAGTGCTACCCACTTGCCACAGTCATTACAAGACTGCTAAGGTTGTGTTATGTAGAATTTCGTAATAAATGATCCTTATGGAAAAGATTTTCAGCTGAGCGAGGGGGCTCGTCCGGGACAATCACTGAGGAGTGTCAGTGATTGTCAGTGCCACCCACCTACCACAGTCATTACATGACTGCTAAGGCCGAGTTAAGTAGAATTTTATATTGTTCCTTATGGAAAAGATTTTCAGCTGATCATGGGGGCTTATCCGGGATAATCACTGAGAATTGTCAGTGCCAACCACCTGCCACGGTCTTTACAAGACTGCTGAGACCGTGCTAATTAGAATTTCATATTAATTGTCCCTTATGGAAAATCTGATCAGCTGAATGTGGGGGCTCATCCGGGACAATCACTGAGGATTATCAGTAGTTGTCAGTGCTACCCACCTGCCACAGTCATTACAAGACAGTTAAGGCTGTGTTAAGTAGAATTTTATATTAATTGTCCCTTATGGAAAATCTCATCAACTGAACGTGGGGGCTCGTCGGGGACAATCACTGAGGAGTGGCAGATGGGTGGCACTAACAATCATTGACGTTCCTCAGTGATTGTCCCGGACGAGCCCCCATGTTCAGCTGAAAATCTTTTCCATGAGGAACAATTCATATGAAATTCTACTTAACACGGCCTCAGCAGTCTTGTAATGACTGATTGTCAGTGCCACCCACCTGCCACAGTCATTACAAGACTGCTGAGGCCGTGTTAAGTAGAATTTCATATGAATTGTTCCTTATGGACAAGTTTCAGCCGAACGTGGGGGCTCGTCCGTGACATTCACTGAGGAGTGTCAGTGATTGTCAGTGCCACCCACCTGCCACAGTCATTACAAGACTGCTGAGGCCGTGTTAACTAGAATTTTATAATAATTGTCCCTTATGGAAAAGATTTTCAGCTAAACGTGGGGGCTCGTCCGGGACTATCACAGAGAAGATCTCTCAGCTGATTCAGCCACCAATGTCCACCTATAACTGAATGAGCAAGTTTTGAAGGTCTGATACTTTAATTGGACCTGTCACTTTGCAGCAGAACTTGAAAGGAAGAGTGTGTGAAAGGTAGACAACCGGTGCTCTGTGCTAGGAGCATATTTAATTGCGCGCCTGCAGCACTGTGACCTCCCTATAACCAAGAGTTCCCAGTCACTGTCTACGATCCTGAGCCGGTAGGCCGTGCTCCCGATCACATGCCGGCTGTGGCAGCCAATCACAGGTTTCACATAATTGGAAGGCCTAGGAAACTCCCCGAGCGTTAAAACCCCCTTAAAGGGATGGCACCTGCCTTTAGAGTGGAGCGAAAGTAAAGGTTGACGTGTCTCAATAATCTTGGCAACATTGCTGCAGGTATAAATGCGTTCATTTGGACACTTTCTGGGGAAAGTCTGGAAATGGAAATCTGCATATTTTTGAGGCTTTAAATATACCAGAAAAAAAAAGAATCTAATAAATGATATTTTTCATTTTTCTAAACAACACGGCTGCATCTGATTTTTTTTTTTGTGGTTCTTGAAATTGTTTTGGGTCATTCACAGAACTCTGTTCTTGGGATCTTTTGTATGAGTATAAAGTCGCTCCAAGAAATCGAAAGCAACTGTGTGCGGGGAGGTGGCCATCATTTTCATAAACAATAAAGTGGATCTGTCCTTGAAATAATATCCCCGGCAGTGGGCGCCATGGCTGCACCAACCATTGTTCCAGCATTCCATGGCTGCCGGTCACATGACCAAATACCAGCTGCCATCAGATCCAGAGCGATGCTGTCTCTGGGTAGAAGAGCAGGGTTAGATAGAGGAAGGAGCAGAGTCCTAAAAGCAGAGCAGAGTATTTCAGGAGAGGTAGAGGAAAAAGCAGAGAAATTGAGGAGAGTTAAAGAGGAAGGAGCAGAGTCCTCCAGCAGAGCAAAGTACCTCAGTAAGAGGAGAGTTTGCAGAGTCCTCCAGCAGAGCAGAGTATTTCAGGAAAAGAGGGTTAGTTATTGAAAGGAGCAGAGTCTTTCAGCAGAGTATTTCAGGAGAGGAGCATTGGATGGAAAGAGCAGAGTCCTCCAGCAGAGCAGATTATTTCCTTAGAGAAACGGTTAAGAAAAAAGAGTCCTCCAGCAGAGCAGAGTATTTCAGGCGAGTTAGAGGAAGGAGCAGAGTCCTCCAGCAGAGTATTTCAGGCGAGTTAGAGGAAGGAGCAGAGTCCTCCAGCAGAGCAGAGTATTTCAGGAGAGGAGGGTTAGATATTGAAAGGAGCAGAGTCTTTCAGGAGAGGACCATTGGATGGAAAGAGCAGAGTCCTCCAGCAGAGCAGACTATTTCAAGAGAGGAGCGGTACAGAAAAGAGTATATATTTCAGGAGAGGAAAGAGATATAGAGTATGTGAGGCGAGTTAGATGAAGGAGCAGAGTCCTCCAGCAGAGTATTTCAGGCGAGTTAGAGGAAGGAGCAGAGTCCTCCAGCAGAGCAGAGTATTTCAGGAGAGGAGGGTTAGATATTGAAAGGAGCAGAGTCTTTCAGGAGAGGACCATTGGATGGAAAGAGCAGAGTCCTCCAGCAGAGCAGACTATTTCAAGAGAGGAGCGGTACAGAAAAGAGTATATATTTCAGGAGAGGAAAGAGATAGAGGAAGGAGCAGAGTCCTCCAGTAGAGCAGAGTATTTCAGGAGAGAGGAGAGTCAGAGGAAGGAGCAGAGTCCTCCAGTAGAGCAGAGTATTTCAGGAGAGGAGAGTTATAGAGGAAGGAGCAGAGCAGACTATTTCAGGAGAGGTAGAGGAAGGAGCAGAGTCCTCCAGCAGAGTATTTCAGGAGAGGGGCATTGGATCAAAAGAGCAGAGTCCTCCAGCAGAGCAGATTATTTCAAGAGAGGAGCAGTACAGAAAAGAGCAGGGTCCTCCAGCAGTGCAGAGTATTTCAGAAGAGGAGAGTTATAGAGGAAGGAGCAGAGTCCTCCAGCAGAACAGAGTACGTCAGTAGAGGAGAGTTAAATAGAGGAAGGAGCAGAGTCCTCCAGCAGAGCAGAGTATTTCAGGAGAGGAGAGTTATGGAGGAAATAGCAGAGTCCTCCAGCAGAGCAGAGTATTTAAGGAGGGAAGAGGTAGATGGAGGAAGGAGCAGAGTATTTAAGGAGAGAAGAGGTACATGTGACCCTCCAGTATCCACTTGAAGACACATAAACTGCTCAGATGCAGCTGCTTGGAAGGTGTAGTAAATTCCTACACTTAGATGGCTGCAGGTGATCTAGTAGTGCCCATAGGTGCTTTTTAGTATTCAATCCAACGTCAGGGCTATACGTCAGACCAAGGAAAGGGACAGGTGGGGAGGAGAGAAGGACGGATTTCCAAAAGCGGGACAATTTGGGGCCATCCAATATGGCTGTTATGGATATTTTAGGTATCGTCCATGACTCTCATATTGTTCACATGCCCCCATTCACTTTTAGATTAAAAAAATAATAATTCAGCAACAACAGCTTGTGATAACTACACATGTTTATCACTAGAAAGGGGATTTTGTTTGGCTCCTGCAGACATTATGTTGTAGCTCTGCTACAGTCTATGAAATGGGACGGTGGCCATTTTGTTGTAGCTCTGCTACAATCTATGAAATTGGACGGTGGCCATTTTGTTGTGGTCTGCAGGCATAAACTACCCCTGACTAAACCTAAGGCTCCCCTTCTTTTTTTAATTCTGCCATATTATAGCAGGATATCGGTGATATAATTTCACTTAAATTTGCATTTTCTGTCCTGCAAGAAGGAAAAGAAAAGATAAAACCGGTGTGGTGGCCATTTTGTTGTGGTCTCCTGAAGGACAGGCTCGATTTACATCCCACATGTAACTTTTTGCTTCAGTTTAAATTGCATTTTATGATACACCCAAAGCCCATTTGTACGTGAAATCCTGATCAGGGATTTAAGAATAAGCAGCAACACAAGTAATGTATTTAGGAGCCATTTTGTTGTAGTCCAGCTCCCAAAACTGCAACACCCAGTCTCTGTGTGGCTGACTGCTGCAGGAAAAGGTCAATCTTCCTCCTTTAAAAGTAAGATGTGGACCTCAGATGCTTCATTTTGTGGAGGATGGATTCAGAAATGCTTACAAACTCATCTTCTTCCATGTTCTGGAGCAATTTAAAAGTCTCTTAAAGGAGAGCTGCATGCCGGGCTGTCTGGATTAGCTGGCGTAAGTCAAAAAGGCGCAAAAACTTTTCTAGACGTGATGACCCCCCCCAAGGCACCATGAAGGGAGTGATGCTTGCGGCGACCGTCCTGGCTCCTCCTACTGGAAATGCCAGTTGCCTGCCAATCTTGCTTGGCACCAGCTTGCTTGGTTGCAACAGTAGAAGTTCCAGGTTGCATGCCTGCTCCAAACTAGATGTAGGCTACTAGGGTCCTGATCTTCCGAATGATCAGGGTTATTGGTTGGGTCGTTGGTTGGTTGAGTGATCAGGGTCATGGGTTGGATTTTTGTGTCTTGCCTACATGGTGATGGGACATATTAAAGGTGGCAACTGTGATTGCTGATGGAGAATAATTGTCCTGTGCTAATGTCCTGATCTTTTGAATTGCCTCATCTACAATCCTGAAGGAAATGCAGCATGTGTTTTCCCTGAGATTCAGAAGTTGGTGCTGGAACCATCAGAGGGGTTTCATAGCATCATGTGACTAGAGACTGAAGTCCTGCCCTGAAGCACCATGAAAATCCTGCTGAACAATTCTATCATGGTGGGTCATATACAACTGGCTTACCTCGATTCTGACTTCAGCAGGGCTTCTGTCCTTCCCGGAAAGGGTCATTGGTTTGTTGGGTTACTGAGGCCATAGTTTTTTTTGGATCATCGTGGTCATGGGTGTGTTGGGTCATTGGGGTCGTCGGTTTATTGGATCATCGTGGTCATGGGTTTGTTGGGTCATTAGGGTCATCCGTTTGTTGGATCATCGTGGTCATGGGTTTGTTGGGTCATCGTTGTGTTGGTTTGTTGAGGTCATGGGTTTGTTGGGTCATAAGGGTCATCAGTTTATTGGATCATTGTGGTCATGGGTTTGTTGGGTCATTAGGGTCATCCGTTTGTTAGATCATCGTGGTCATGGGTTTGTTGGGTCATCGTTTTGTTGGTTTGTTGAGGTCATGGGTTTGTTGGGACATAAGGGTCATCGCTTTTTTGGATCATTCTGGTCATGGGTTTATTGGGCCATCGGTTTGTTGGATCATCGTGGTCATGGGTTTGTTGGGTCATAAGGGTCATCGGTTTGTTGGATCATTGTGGTCATGGGTTTGTTGGGTCATAAGGGTCATCGGTTTGTTGGATCATTGTGGTCATGGGTTTGTTGGGTCATAAGGGTCATCGGTTTGTTGGATCATTGTGGTCATGGGTTATTTGTTGGTCATCCGTTTGATTTTATGTTTTGTCTGACATTGTTTAGAAGCGGTTCTGTAAACCGACCAGTGATGGGACATATTAAAGGTGGTGGCAAAACGAAAATCCCAACTGTGATGGAGAATAAATAGTGGGAATTATATTTGTTCCTTGACATGTCTTGTTACTACATGGTCAATCAAGAGACTTCCTCGTCCAGTTTGGTGGCGTCATAATGCTAAATGTTGTGATATATATATATAGAGAGAGATTTAATTCTTGTTTCTTTTTTCAATTTCACTTTTCAGATGATGTTTCCTACATTGTCTTCTCACATCTACTAAAGTCTCTTGAGATTCAAGAGTTGGGGATCCTGAACTTGGGCCAACACAAGGGCAAAATGGCTGAGAAGATACTTAACCTGACCCTGGAGATCATCTACCTCCTGACCGGAAAGGTGAGGAGGAGACTGTATCTACTGAGCCGACCTGTGACAGTGTCATTGTCAAAAGGTCAGCTAGAACTATGAGGTGAGTGGAAATCACTCATCTCATAGTTCTCCTTTAATAAAACACACACCCGACTGGAGAGGTGAGGAGGACTCTTAGAAGGGTTGTGGGAACATACATAGTTATTTTTTTGTTTTTTGTGTCTTCTGCACAGGATTATGAACTAGTGAAGATGATATCTGGAAAACTATTACCATACAACAGTCGTACATCTGACCCGTCACCCATCATGGACCATCCACCTCCCTCCCTGACATCTGAGAGGAACAACCAGAACCAGATTCAAGAAGTCACCCTGAAGATCATTGAGCTGCTGACAGGAGAGGTGAGCGGTGCCAGGAATTCTGGGACATGATCCAGGAACAGACAAGGGGTGTGTCTGGGTGGTGACTGTATCATTGTGTGTGTCAGGTTCCTATAAGGTGTCAGGATGTCTCTGTCTATCTCTCCATGGAGGAGTGGGAGTATCTAGAAGGACACAAGGAGCTCTACAAGGACGTCATGATGGAGGACCAGCAGACCATCACATCACCAGGTAGGAGAACCAACGTTTTTTGTCATTCTGCTCGTTGAATCAATGGTTTCCTTAAGATGTCAAAGTAACTGGTTTTCCTGATCATTGAAATGTGAGGTCACTTTAAGGTGATATCATAGACATACACATGGAGCCTGATGGGCTGACTCAGCCCCGGCTTCTTATAAGTCCAAGATTCACCAAAAGTGAGATCTCCCAGCCATAGTTCCCGGCTCTGTTCCTGTCCACCTGGGAGTTTTAATTTGTATATAACACACACGTTATCATATTTGGATATTAATTGATGCTCAACCGCTTCACTAAGGAGGACAGTTTAAAGAATCTATACAAATGCTGTTCACTTCCCTTTTGTATCTTTCTCCATTCAGCTCTGAGGTCACTTGACGGTGGAGCATCTATTCAGAAGATCGACTACTCTATAGGATGCGTTTCAGAAATGCTGATGTTCTATAATGAGCGGAGTCACATGAATGAGAGGTTGTTACAGCTCACCCTGGAGATCATCTACCTCCTGAGCGGAGAGGTGAGGAGGATTCTGGGAGGTCCCATGACATCACTCTTATCTCTATTACTAAAACACAGACCTGACTGGAGAGGTGAGGAGGATTCTGGGAGGTCACATGACATCACTTCTATCTCTATTACTAAAACACAGACCTGACCGGAGAGGTGAGGAGGATTCTGGGAGGTCACATGACATCACTCTTATCTCTATTCATAAAACACAGACCTGACCGGAGAGGTGAGGAGGATTCTGGGAAAGTCTCAGTTACTTATTTCTTCTTTCCTTCACATTTAGAATTGCACTGTCATGAAAAAGGGATTTCATCACAGTATCGTACATGGCGTTTTCCCTCCTCCTTTGCCGACATCTGATATAAACAACGACAAGAAGATCCTAGAAGTCACCCAGAAGATGGCTGAAGTCCTGACAGGAGAGGTGAGCGGTGCCGGGAATTCTGGGACATGATCCAGGAACAGACAAGGGATGTGTCTGGATGGTGACTGTATCATTGTGTGTGTCAGGTTCCTATAAGGTGTCAGGATGTCTCTGTCTATTTCTCCATGGAGGAGTGGGAGTATCTAGAAGGACACCGGGATCTCTACCAGGAGGTCGTGATGGAGAACCAGCTGTCCCTCACATCATCAGGTAAGAGGATTGACAATGGCCTTTCTACACGCACATTACATGCAGAACAGATGGTTCCTGTTTTAATAGCCGGCTGTTTTTCCTGATTTGATCTCCGGCGTACATAGTTGGCATATAGTTGTAGCATTGTCCTCTATTAATAATGTTGAGGAGTCACATTCACCTACGCTGAATTTTGTTCCATCAGGTTTACTGTGGAGTTGGAACTTATTGGACAGTCAAAGCTCCATCAGCTCTGTTGAAGGACACCTCCCCAACCAGGATGGTTCCACTTCAATGGCTAACAATGGCCTTCAACATCCAAAGGATCAAGATGAACCTCATGTGCATGACATTGATGGGTATCCACCAACAGATGATGTTGGTGGTACGCCCCATGCTTTGGAACCTCAGACAGGCCTTGGCAGTGACTCCGGCTCTTCTGCCCCTCAACCGGTGGGCTCATCTTTGGCCTGTCCGCTTTGTGGGAAGACATTTACCAGGAAGGCGAAGTTCTCCAAACACGTGAAGTACCACACCGTGGAGAGGCCTCACTCTTGCCCCGAATGCAACAAGACCTTCATTCGGAGTTCCGACCTAGCCAAGCACGCCATCGTTCACACTGGCGAGAAGCCGTTCCCCTGCACCGAGTGTGGCAGATGTTTTGTCAGCAAGGCCTACCTCGCCATCCACACCCGAATCCACACGGGCGAGAAGCCGTATTCCTGTTCCGAGTGCAAGAAGCGTTTTATTAGCATCTCGGCGCTCATCGTCCACCGCAAGATTCACACGGGGGAGAAGCCCCACATCTGTTCAGAGTGTGGGAAGGGCTTCATTCGGAAGTCCGACCTGGTCCAGCACTTAAGGGTCCACACTGGAGAGAAGCCCTTTTCCTGCGACGAGTGTGGCAAACGATTCTTCAGCAAGCCTCATCTCGTCGTCCACCAAAGAGTCCACACGGGAGAGAGGCCATTTTCCTGCGTTGACTGTGGCAAGTGCTTCAGTAGCAAGACGCACTTGGTGGTTCATCGCCGGATTCACACTGGTGACAGGCCCTACCCATGCCCAGAGTGCGGCAAGTGTTTTATCCGGAAGGCTGTCTTGGTCCTGCACCAGAGAAGCCATGCTGGGGAGAAGCCATACCCCTGCGCCGAATGTGGTCGCTGTTTTGCCTACAAGACTTACCTGAGCAGCCACCGCAAGATCCACCTGGGCATGAAGCCCTTCCCTTGCCCCGACTGCGGCAAATGCTTCATCAGCAACTCCGAAGTGGTGAAGCACCGCAGGACTCACACGGGGGAACGGCCCCATTTTTGCTCAGAGTGCGGCAAATGTTTCACTAAGAAGTCCCACCTCAACCGCCACCAGAAGATCCACTCTGGTGACAAGCCTCACTCCTGCAATTGGTGCAGCAAGAGCTTCATTGACCACTCCGACCTGGTCAAGCACCAGCTGACCCACACAAGGGACAAGACCTGTTCCTGCCCAGAATGTGGCAAGAGCTTCCTAAACAACGCCCACCTTGTCCTGCACAGCCGAGTTCACCACGGTGGCGGGCAGTACCCATGTCCCGAGTGTGGGAAGTGCTTTCCTAATCCCGCCCTCCTTCTGAACCACCAGAGGTCCCACACGGATGAGAAACCGTTCAGCTGCAGTGAGTGCGGGAAGAGCTTTGCCCGGAATATGGATCTAGTGAAACACGTAAGGAGTCACACGGGCGAGAAGCCTTATTCTTGCTCAGAGTGTGGCCGCAGCTTTGCTGAGAAATCTTACCTCCACATACACCAGAGAACTCATACTGGCGAACGGCCTTACCCCTGCCCGTTGTGTGGCAAATGTTTCATCAGCAACTCCGACCTAGCAAAGCACGTGCGGATTCATACAGGCGAGCGGCCCCATGCCTGCACGCAGTGTGGAAAACGCTTTATAAAGAAGTCGCACCTCACCCGACACCAGAAGGTCCATGCCGATGATACAGACTGACTTCCCGCTTTGAATGAAGTCTCTGTGTTCAACTGAACACTGCATGGGGTCTCCCAAAACCCAACAGCTATAGAAGACATAATGTGATCCACTAAAACCCAACACCTATGGGGAACTTAATAGGGTCCCCCAAAACCCAAGAGCTATAGAGGATTTAATGTGGTCCACCAAAAGCTATAGATGATAAAATGAGGTTCACCAAAAGTGAACAGCCATAAAAGACTTAATAGGGTCCAGCGAAACCCAACAGCTATAAAGGACTAAATAGGGTCCACCAAATTCAACAGCTATAGATAGATAAATAGGGTCCACCAAAACAGTTGTAGAAGACTAAATGGGGTCCACCATAACCCATCCGTTTTAAAGATGACTAAATAGGGTCCACCGAAATCCAACCGCTATAGAGGAGCAAATATGGCCCACCAAAACTCAACAGCTGTATAAGACTTAATGGTAAATGGGGGTCCACCAAAAGCTTTAGCATACTAAAAGGACTCCACAAATCGTATTAGCTATAGAGGAGCAAATGGGGTTCATCAAAACTCAACATACTTAATGTGGTCTACCAAAACTCTATCATGGACTCAATGAGTTCCACCAAAACCCAACTGTTATAGCGTACTAAATAGGGTCCACCAACACCCAATGGACATAGTGGAACCAAAGAAGGAAGAATATTGGACGAGTATAGGGATGTTTAAGGCACCAGAGTAGGTCCTCTTGAAGCTGTAGCTCTTAGATAACCATTTTGTGGTTTCCAGTATAGAAGGACAGAAGATCATCGCTAGTCTCAGATCCCCTTCTGTGCAGGAAGAAGCATTTGATCAGCTAAGGGTGTGCAGACCCGCCCACGTGTGGCCTTTGATTATGCCTACGGCACATGCCCAAGAATGAGAAGTGATAGCGGGACATCAGCCGGGACACAACCCCATTGGGACGGAGGTCCAAGATCTATGTGTTGGGTTCATGGTGGTACTAAGATGACCCTCAGTTTCTGTTGAGAGTGTATTTCCTTAGCTTTGGATAAAGGTGGGGAAGGGTTAGGACCTCTGCTTGATCCTTACTGCCCTCCGTAATCCATTGGAGACATTTCGCACTTCCTGTCCTGCTGATGATGTTTTACCAGACAGGAAGTGACGTCCAATAGGAAAGGATGAAAGGGGACCCCGTCTTTGATTCTTTTTGGTCTCCTTACTGCATGTCTGTATATGTCTGTAAATAGTTTATATATTTTTATAGCAGGTTTTATATACGTAGCACTCATATTGTTACCTAGTTGATGTTCATGTTTCATCGTTTCTATAAAGTTCTCTGTTTTCAAAGATCATGCGTTGGGGTTGGTGTACTAAAGGGGCCGTTCCCTTTGTAATATTGGTGAACCAAGGGGAAGCTGTGTTCACTTTGAATACCCAATCGTGAGCAAGCACACCCTTGCGCGTAATTGGGTATTTCTTACAGGCATATATGTAGATTCACATCAGGCCCCGCCCTCGAGGAACTTGCATTCTAAAGTCTCTATTTCAGATGCATACATACACATTAGGGACTCACCGATATCGATACTAGTATCGGTGCCGATACCGGGTATTTGGGGATACTCGTACTCGCCCGAATGCTCCTGATGCCGGAACTTCCAGTATCAGGAAGACGGGCTGTAAGTCATTACACGCTGCCCAGCATCCTGATTGGCCGGGAAGAAGGCTCCATGCCCCCCTCGTCCAGGATGGAGCCAGCTTCTTGGCCAATCAGGAGGGAAGCTGGAAAGCGGGTAATGACTCACCCCCCTGGCTTCCTGATTCGACTGAAAGCTGGCTCCATGGTCCCTGGTGATGAGGGAGCATGGAGCCGTCTTCTCGGCCAATCAGGAACCCGGAAAGCAGGCAATGACTCACCCCTGGCTTCCTGCTTGGCCCGGAAAGCTGGCTTCATGCTCCCCGCCCCCCTCCAGCGGTGATCGTACCAAGGCAGCCTTCTCTGTTATAGAGCCTTCATACATTCCTATGGAACCAACTTGGGTGACACGACCATTGGCTTACCTGAATTGTGGTGTCACCCCAGTTGCTTATCCATGTATTCCAGGGAGGGCACCTGGTGGACCCAGCTGGGGTCATGACTACAAGGTCATGGCCAGCCAAGGCTCGTTGATGGACGTGGGGAGGGAAGTCTGGCCCGTGTAGTCCGATCCAATAGAAGAGCTACTGGAGATCAGATTGCTGATAAAGTGAATTCTGGTTCTGATAGAAAGATGTCTCTGAGCACACAGAGCATCGCAGGTTGTTGTGTATGGGGCTACAAAACCACTCAGGTGCCCATGCTGACTCGTGTCCACCGCCAAGTGCTTACAACATGCAAATGTGGATCAGAACTGGACCACAGAGCAATGGAAGAAGGTGGCCTGGTCTGATGAATCACATTTTTTTTTACATCATGCGGACGGTCGGGTACATGCATGCCACTTACCTGTGGAAGAGATGGCACCAGGTTGTCCTATGAGAAGAAGACAAGCCGGCGGAAGCAGTGTAATGCTTTGGGCAATGTACTTCTGAGAAACCTCGGGTCCTGCCATTCATGTGGATGTCACTCTGTCACGTACCACCGACCTAAACATTGTTCCTGACCAAGTACACCCCTTCATGGAAACTGTATTTCCTGATGGCAGTGGCCTCTTTCAGCAGGATAATGCGCCCTGCCACACTGCAAAAATGGTTGAAGAATGGTTTGAGGAACACAACAACGAGTTTAAAGTGATGACTTGGCCTCCAAATTCTCCAGATCTCAGTCCAATCGATCATCTGTGGGATGTGCTGGGAAAACAAGTCCGATTAGTGGAGGCCCCACCTCACAACTTACAGGACTTGAAGGATCTGCTACTGACGGCTTGGTGCCAGATACCACAGCATACCTCCAGAGGTCTAGCAGAGGCCATGCCTGGATGGGTCAGGAGTAGGGGGACCTGCTCAATACTTGGGGGGTCATCCAGATACCACAGCATACCTTCAGAGGTCTAATAGAGGCCATGCCTGGATGGGTCAGGAAAAGGGGGACCTACTCAATACTTGGGGGTGTCATCCAGATACCACAGCATACCTTCAGAGGTCTAGTGGAGTCCATGCCTGGATGGGTCAGGAGGAGCACCTGCTCAATACTTGGGGGGTCATCCAGATACCACAGCATACCTTCAGAGGTCTAGTGGAGTCCATGTCTGGATGGGTCAGGAAAAGGGGGACCTACTCAATACTTGGGGGGTGTCATCCAGATCCCACAGCATACCTTCAGAGGTCTAATAGAGGCCATGCCTGGACTGGTCAGGAAAAGGGGGACCTGCTCAATACTTGGGGAGTCATTCAGATACCACAGCATACCTTCAGAGGTCTAGTGGAGGCCATGCCTGGATGGGTCAGGAGAAGGAATACCTGCTCAATACTTGGGGAGTCATCCAGATACCACAGCATACCTTCAGAGGTCTAGTGGAGGCCATGCCTGGATGGGTCAGGAGAAGGAATACCTGCTCAATACTTGGGGAGTCATCCAGATACCACAGCATACCTTCAGAGGTCTAGCGGAGTCCATGCCTGGAAGAGGGGGACCTACTCTATATTAGGGGGGTGGTCATAATGTTATGGCTGATCGATGGGTACGATGAATGGTCGTTAGGCCGGTCTACTCATCTACGTACATCGTTGTGGTCAAGAGTATTGCTATGGAAAACCTATTTTATGAAATAAAACATCTCACTGAGATTTTTCTTCAAGGTCAAAAGGTAACTTTTATTTCTACAAATATTGAATTTAAAAAAAAATATCAATGTGTTGATGTCTCCCTTCAGGACCCAACATCTACCCAACGTTCGTGGTCCTGAAACCTTCTACGTAACGACTTTGGCCCGGCATTGCTCAACCAAAGTCTACTTGTCCTCTCTGTGCCTACGCTCATGCTTGCCTAGGGATGAGCGGTCGCAGAAAGCCTTCCCACACTCTGAGCACACGTATGGTTTCTCTCCGGTGTGGCGTCGAAGGTGGATGTTCAGAGACGACTTGTCGCTGTAGTTCTTCTTGCACTCGGGGCAGCTGAAGCGCTTCTCCCCCGTGTGGGTCTGGTAGTGCCGGAGCAGGTTGCGTTCTTCACTGAAGACTCTCTTGCACTCAGTGCAGGCGTAGCCGTTGTCCTGCGAGTGGACGTTCATGTGCTTGGTAAGCGATGACTTGTACGTGTAGCGCCGGCCGCATTCCGGGCACGCGTAGGGCTTCGCTCCCGTGTGAAGCCTCTGGTGGATCATCAAGGACAACTTGTTACGGAGATCCTTGCCGCATTCAGAGCATCGGCACTCTTTCTCGCTGGCGTGGGTTTTTTTGTGCCGGGCGAGCTTCCCATTCTCGGCGAACCGCTTCCCGCACTCGTCACACGCAAAGGGCCGCTCCCCGGTGTGGGATCGCTGGTGCCTCACCAGCTTCCCTTTCTCTGTGAAGCACTTTCCGCACGTCTGGCACTCGTAGGGCTTTTCGCCCGTGTGGGTTCTACGATGGACTACAAACTGTTTGCTGTTGCTGAAACATTTTCCGCACTCCGAACATTCAAACGGCTTCGCTCCTCGGTGGGTTCTTTGGTGGGTGACTAGTTTGGCGTTGCACCGGAAGCTTTTCGGGCAATCTGCGCATTTTTCCCCCCGGTGCGTCCGCAGGTGCCTGCCTAGCTTGCCCTTTTCGGCGAACTGTCTCCCGCATTCCGAGCAGCTGTAAGGTTTCTCCCCCGTGTGGGTCCTTTCGTGCCTGATCAGCTTCCCTTTTTCGGCAAACCGCTTCCCACACGAAATACACGGGAACGGTTTTTCCCCCGTATGCGACCTCTCATGGACGACCCGTTGAGCTTTGGTGAGAAAACACTTCCCGCACCGATGACAGCCAAAAGGTTTTTCCCCGGAGTGTGTCCTGTGATGGGAGGCAAGCTGTCCCGGACTTCGGAAGCATTTCCCGCACGCCGAGCAGACAAACGGTTCTTCCCCCATGTGATCTCTTTGGTGGAAAAGCAGTTGAGAATTGCGTGGAAAACATTCGCCACACTCAAAACATTCGTACAATCGCGGTTGCACCAAAGCAGGGTCACGTCTGCCAGATCGGGGCCTCTTTGTTAGGTGGCTTCTGAATTCACAACCCTGGAAGGTTTTCTCGGTAGCATGAGCTCTTTGGTGCTTGGTCAGAGTCGACATGTCGTTGAAAAACTTCCCACACTCGGCACATACAAATATGGTCTCCTCAGGGTGTCCAGTAAAATCTGATAGACATGTGTGGACTCTGTCAGGAACAAGCCCTACTTGACTTGAATATGAGGCCTTCTCTGGCTTAATAGACATGGGTTCCACACAACCAGTAGATAGATCCAATTCATCATCATCCTCCTTCATGAGTTCTTTACATGAGTCCGTTTCTTCCTTAATGTGAAGAGAAATATCTGGGGAAACATCAGTGTTGCTGAGCTTGGAGAGGGGCTCCTCCTTAATATAGGTATAGTTTGGCCGAGGTGTGGGTATGGAGGAGTCAGGGTATGGAAGATGTTCTCCAACTGAAAGAAGTCCCCCATCATTACGAGTAGACGGATGAGTGGGTATGGAAGGGTCAAGGTGGGGTAAATGTTCTACAACTGAAGAAGGTCCCTCACCATTATGAGTAGACCTATAGTGTACACAATGAGTGGGTACGGAAGGGTCACGGTGGGGTAGATGTTCTACAACTGAAAAAGGTCCCTCACCATTATGAGTAGACGGATGAGTGGGTATGGAAGGGTCAAGGTGGGGTAGATTTTCTACAACTGAAAGATGTTCCTCATCCTTAAGAGTAGATGGACATTTGCTATGATGTTTTGGCGTAGAGATGTCACAATGGGGGAGATGGCCTTCAAATGACAGTGGCTCCTCCTTTAAATACTGCGTCTGATGTGTAGGTGTGAAAATGTCCGCTTGGGGGAGATGTTGCTCTTCATGCGACATTAGTTCCTCCTTAAAAGATGACTCTTGCGTATGACCCACAGGCGTTGGCATGAAGGCATGTGGGACATGTTCTTCTTGACACGAAGGCGGTTCCACCTTTACTCTGGTAGACTTAGAATAATCTCCAGCTCTGGGGTTCTCAGGCTGTGGATTTTGTTCTACACATGGGAAGGGCTCCTCTTTAACATACGTAGGAGAACCCCGCTTGGGTTCAGGAGGCCTGGAAATGTCCAAGAGTGGGGCCTGGACTAGAACCAATTTGGAGCATTTGTCGTTGAAGCCTTTGGTCACCTGGACTAGCTCTGTGGCCTTCTCTGTTGAGTCTATAGGCCGGGATGCAGACTTCAACTGATCCATCTTGAAGCCTTTGGTCACCTGGACTACCCATGTGGCCTCCTTGGTTGAGTCTATAGGCCGTGATGCAGACTTCAACTGATCCATCTTGAAGCCTTTGGTCACCTGGACTACCTCTGTGGCCTCCTCGGTTGAGTCTATAGGCCGTGATGCAGACATTGTACAAGCCTGTGGAGAAGAAAAGATTTAAGGGCCATGTTTATAAAGAACAACAAAGCCAGTGAACTGGCTGCAATATCACATCACATGACATTAATCATGGTCCTCGGGGGTTACTTTGGCAACATCAAAGGCGCCAACGTTAATTTTCAGCCAAGTCCAGCAATGGAAGAACATTTTTGGCCTTTTTCGAAGACTAGAGTAGCATTTTTTTGCCATATGTGCCTCATTAGGGAGATTTTCCTTCACTTCCTGTCTCGGACACACAACAGGAAGTCAAAAGGAATTCCTTAGAAAGTGAGGAATAATCCTCTCCTTGGATTTTCCTCACTTATTGGAAGATTTCCATCAATTACGGTTAAGGTGGCAATGCAAATGCAATATGGCATTTGCCGTGACTTGTTGTCCCGGGGCAACGGACACCAAGGGCAAACAGAGAGGCCAAACCTCCCCAAAGGGCAGCAGTAAATTACTGGGGTTCCAACCCATCCCAACTCCATCTAAAATGGCACATACAGTGTAAAATATACAATTTGGAAGGCTGTAGGTTGCACCGCATTCCGAGGCCGGTGGATTTAGACTTTCAATGGTGTTTAAAGCATTTGTAATGTAATAAAGTAAACAGAAAACAGTAACTATACACCAAGCAGAAGCTCTATTCTTATTTTCAGGAGTGTTGTCACCCTCTACACTTGTGTTATCCCCAAAACTCCACTTCTACCTGAGCACCATCAATGACAAAAAGCACTTCAATCACTCTTCTTGTCACTACCTCTCAGTCCAGCAGCCCAGACACTTGAAATCTTGTTCCTAACAGGAAATAAAGAGTGGGGTGAGCAAAGGATTCTGGGCGATGTAGTCGTTTTCTTACCAATCTTTGCAACTGAAGTCTTTACTTTATGGCTACTAAAAAATGGCTGCCAGTGCAGTGCCTGGCTCGCTGTTATGTCTTGCTGTCTGAAGATAACTTTATAATTGATTTAGCAGTTAATTAAGTGTGACGGAGGAGACTTTTGTCTTCTTTGGATCACGTTTTATGCGTGTTTTAAAAAAACAAGGCTACAACAACATGGCCGCTCACACGGAGCACAGAACAAACTCTGGGTTTTGGCCTCTAGCGTCCACGGGAGCATGGGCGAGCCTGGAGACGTCACGCATTCCATATATGGCCGTTGAGAGTTGGGGCGTGGCCTTGCGTGCTTGAGGTGAAACCAGCTGTGAAACGCATGAACCGGAAGTTGTCATTCTGTAGCAGGGACTGTTTCCGGTCCTGATTTAATTTTGAGAATATTTTATTTAATTATGGCCCATTAATGGCTGGCAGGGATTAAAAGGAATGCCAAGCAGCCTTCTTGTATATGGCACTTTCATACCTGTACACATGCGGTAACATGCCGTAAAACCTTCATTTTACGGCACAATGTGGTGCGACTAGGGTTGCCACCTTTTCTTCTAGCGAAACCCGAACACTCTTGCTACGTGCAAACAGTTTTTTTGGTGGGAGGGGCAGTAGCCCCTATCTTAATTTTGGTTGCCCCTGTCTGCCTGACATCTTGTGTCCGGGTTTCTGCTGCAATGAAACCCGGACACAGCATTCAAAACCCGGACTGGTGAATCTTGGGCAGGTGGCAACCCTAGGTGCGACCCGCCATTTCTGGATTCCACCCATAAGGAAGCGTCACACATCCCAGGAGGCAGTTTTGTAGGTTACAAATACAGGGCAACTGCATAATTTATAACTGGCCTTTATCGCAAGGTGCACATGGAGGGGCTTACAACAATACAAGTTGCGAGTGAGGGGCGCACCCCGAAAAAGGGGGGAGATCTATGTGCCCTCTACAAAGTGTTGGCTGTTCTGTCTTCTTGTGATAGAACGTCAGCATTAAAAGATTTTGGACTCTCTTTTCTTTAGCCCGGTGCTCTCATTGGACTTTTTACACATGGATTCCAAACGTTCGGGCCCCCCCAGTTAAGGGGTACCCTGTTTGTGGTGAGAAAAGCCTCACTGGAGTTACTACGTCACATATGAATTTGATCCACCTTCTTCAACCATCTATTGATGAGTTGAGTCCAGCCCCTCAATCGCATCCGTTCGAGTGGGTGACAACCATGGCTGCCTCCATAGATACAGTACTGTGAGTGAGCTTTGGATAGGAAGTGTGTTACTGGCGGGATTGCCGGGTGAAAACAAAGGGGGGGGGAAACGCCCAAAACTAGTCTTGAAGACTCCAGGTCTTGTTACAAGAGAGACATTGATTAATTATTTGAAGGAGAAAAGAGGGCCATATATAAACCACAAGGTATAATCCATGTCCTAAATAAGTCTTTATTGTCATTGTTGAATCAGAACCTCACTTGCCATTCAGGCCACAGATGACCCGACTTTGGGAAATTTTGATTCATACTTTTGGAACATTCACACAGCACAAAGACCCTGGTGTTCCAGGTGCAAAGGATCAAGGAGAATGGGCAAAATGGGAAGACAATGGGTTTGAAAAGTTATATCCTCTTGACGACCTTTTGTGTTCCTCACACATCCAGAGCTCCTGTAAGTTGTGAGGTGTGGCCTCCATGGATCGGACTCATCTTCCCAGCAGATCCCAAAGATGCTCAATTGGATTGAGATCTGGAGAATGGGGGGAGGGGCAAGTCAACACCTTAAACTCATTGTTGTGTTCCTGAAACCATTCTTGAACCATTGTTGCAGTGTGTCAGGGCGCATTATCCTGCTGAAAGAGGCCACTGCCATCAGAGAATATCGTTTCCATGAGGGGGTGTACTTGGTCAGTAACAGGTCGGTGGTACGTGTCAAAGTAACATCCACATGAATGGCAGGACCTGAGGTTTCCCAGAACATTGCCCAAACCATTACACTGCCTCCGCCGGCTTGTCTTCTTCCCATAGTACATCCTGGTGCCATCTCTTCTCCAGGTAAGTGACACACACGCACCCAGCCATCACCATGATGTAAAAGAAAATGTAATTCATCAGACCAGGCCACCTTCTTCCATTGCTCTGTGGTCCAGTTCTAATGTTCACATGCCCATTGTAGGCACTTATGGAGGTTGACACAGGTCAACATGGGCACCGTGAGTTGATACACCTTTGTATCAGAACCAGCATTAACTTTTATAGCAAGTAGAGCTCCTCTATTGGATCAGACTACACGGGCCAGCCTTCACTCCCCACACGCATGTCACGTACCTGTCTGATCAGCTCCTGTTCGGGGTTTGAAGCTGGGCCTCTGGCAAGGAAGTGCATAGACCTAGCCATTCAGCCACTGGAAGGACTTGGTTTCTGCTGCAGGTTTTTTTGTACTCAGCAACTCTCCTTGTGGACACTTTGGCTCCACATGCCTACCAGTTGTAGAAGATCTGTAATTAGCTCAGGCTTTAAATACCGGACACTTCCAGTGCTCTGAGCCCGTTGATCTGGTTTGGTTTCCTGTATGAGCTACCGCTGTGTCGTATGTTGGATTTACACCGTGACTCTTGCCTGGTTCCTGACTATTCTTCTGCCTGCCGATTTTGTACCTTGCTGCCTGATCGTGTCAAGATCTCTGCCCACCTCCCGACTACTCTCCTG